CCCGTAGGGGCTCGCATCCCGCGTGCCACCTGGGAGCCCCGGCGCCTCTCGCTTAACGAGAGCTTTGAACGCGCCCTCCCGCCTGGATGCCGCCGCAGCTATGATGGAAGAACCATAAAGCCACCCGGCGGGGCGCGGCGGGGCGGGGCCAGGGGCGGGACCGGCCTGCAGGAAGTGCGCCTAGCGCACTGCCTGATGGGGCCGGAAGTGGAGCGCACGCTGCGGTCCGGCAGTCATGGCGGCGGCGCGGGGCCGCAAACGGTGAGTTGGGCGCGATCCGATCTGGCCTCCGGGCGGACGCTTGCATCCAAAGGGGCTCCCCTTGCGCCTCTCTGTGTTCCTGGGGCGGCAGGGCTAGGGCACATCGGGCTGGCTGGGAGGAGTGACCCTGACGGCATGGCCCGCAGACGCCTGGCGGAGCTGACGGTGGACGAGTTCCTGGCCTCGGGCTTTGATTCTGAATCCGAATCCGAGCCCGAAGGAGCCCCAGAAGCGGAGACGCGGGTGGCGCGCGGAGACGTGCGGAGCTTGGGTGGGCCAGGCGGGACCCCTTTTGCTAGGTAAGTGGAGCGTGTGTAAGCAGAGTCCCCATAATCGTCCTGGCCCTTTACACCCCAGGGCTGCTGACCACTCACTCCTGGGGCCTCTGGACTGAGGTTTATGGACTTCTGACCCCATCCCCAGACCCTTTGGCTTATTTATTCTTCCATCCGGTGCTTACGGAGTGCCTGCTCTGTGCCAGGTCATTCAGGTGTAGGGCAAACGTTGGGGTACGGTATTCCTTTTTGGTCTAGGAGAGCTTACCTAGTGTTGGGTAAATCACAGTATGTAGTATGGTAGAACACGTAACTGCTGCAGACAGGACGGGAAAGCAGAAAGAGCCAGAGGAACAGGGAGCACAGCTGGGAGTGTCTGCTGCAGCGTTAAGTAGAGTAAGACCATTCAAGGAGGTGATGATTGAGCAAAACCTGAGGGAGCAAACTGTGTAACGGTAGGGGAAGAATGTCTCTATGTTTCTGGCAGCAGGGGTAAAGGTCCTGAGGTGAGAGTGAGCCTTCCACAGAGGTGAGCATGGCTGTGGCAGGAATGAGGGGGAGAGTAGGAAGAGGTGAATCTGAAGGAGTAATGATGGGGCGGGATCTTGTAGACTATTTAATGCTATCCTAGTGCAATGGGAAGTTATCCCAGGGCTTTGAGTAGTGAGGTAATGTCACGTGATCCATAGTGTTCTGCAAGGGTCCCCTGGGTTGGTGTGCTGAGAACAGGTTGTAAGCAGCAGGGGATGACGAGGGAACTGAGAGAGGCTGCTGATTTGAGAGGAGTCATGAGAGGTTTTGAAAGTACTGATGATGAGATCTCGTGACACATGGCATGCTGGGTGTGAGAGACAAAGAGAAGTTCATCTTTCCTCTGAAAGGTGGAGTTAGCAACAGCTGAGATAGAGCAGGGTGTGGGTAGAGCAAGGTTGGGGGAAACTGCAAGTTCTGCGTTGTCTGTGTTGGGTTTGAAACGTGCGCTTCGAAACATATGTATAGAGAGGCTGTTGGATGTGTAGTAGTCTGCATTTTGGAGGAGAGAGAGATCTGCAGAAAACTTAGTCTCTGGAAACCCCCTGCCTTGGTTATTGGGAGCTGTTGCGAAGGGAGGGGACTAACCCTCACAGGTTCTCTGACGAGGACGGTGAGCTGATAGCGAGGAGGACAGGAAGCCTCACCCCTCAGCCTCCTTTCTTGACTCTGCCTGCCACTCAGACTTGATCACCCCCACTTCCTCAGCCAGCGTAAGGGCCGTGCGTCTGAGCACAAGGACCAGCTTTCTCGGCTGAAGGACAAAGACCCCGAGTTCTACAAGTTCTTGCAGGAAAATGACCAGAGCCTGCTGAACTTTAGTGATTCAGACAGCTCTGAGGATGAAGAGGAGCGACTCCACTCTCTGCCAGACACACTGGAGGTGAGATCTTGTGCACAGTTGGGTCGGGGGCAGGGGCATATTTGTGGCCTCTACATCCTGTCCAGCCTGGCCCTCTGCATCTGGTGCAGGAAGCAAGTGAGGAGGAGGAAGATGAGGAGGAGGACGACAGGGTCCCCAGAGGACCTATGGGGAAGAGGAGGGATTCTGTCCCTGTGACCCTTGCCATGGTTGAGAGATGGAAGCAGGCAGCAAAGGTGAGAATTGGCGTGGGGTGGGCAGCTGACCCCGCCCCTCACCCTCAGGAGCCTGCCCTTACCTCATTTCAGTGACCTGGGGCTGTGCGGATGAGAGGACCCCTTCTCTGAGCCCTGGCCCTGGTGTCCCATTCAGCTCAGAAGCATCTCACAGGTTTCCCTGCGTGCTAGGAGGGTTCAGAACTGCATTCTCTCTTTCACTCAGAAACTAGGGGCTCCACCTGCTTCCTTCCACTCAGTTTTTCTCCAGGGATCCTGTCATCCACGGTGGGCATACTCTCTATGCCTTTGTTAGTTGGGGGAGCCAGGGCCCTTCTTCTGCAGGCCTTGCAGTGGTTTCTGCAGGGAAAAGAAAGGACAGAAAGGGAGAACTCCAGATACCACTTGGAGCTGGCTTTCTCAGCGCCCCCTCCATGGCCCTTCCAGGAGGATTCTGGACTCTTTTTGTTCCCTGCACACGGCTCAGTAACACTGCCCCCGTCTCTGTTCTTTGTCTGGGGATATGGGCAAGGGAGCCTTTCTCTCATGGAGCAGGTTCCTAGGTAGGGCCCCAGCTTGCTGCTCTCGCTTTCCCCAGCACAGCCTACTGCTCCCCCAGCGTTCTGGGTCCTCTTGCCCCTTTAGCAGCACCTGACTCCAAAGCTGCTCCATGAAGTTGTACAGGCGTTCCGAGCAGCTGTGGCCACCACCCAAGGAGACCAGGAAGGTGCTGAGGGCAGCAAATTCCAGGTCACAGACAGCGCTGGTGAGCTAGGGTGAGGGGACCCCAGATGCGGGCTCTCTGTTTCATCTTCTGTCCTGTGAGTGGCATCTCTGGTCCCCTCATTGCAGTGTTCAATGCTCTGGTCACCTTCTGCATCAGAGATCTCTTTGGCTGTCTCCAGAAGCTGCTGTTTGGAAAAGCCCCAAAGGACAGCAGCAGGTAAGAGGGAAGAGGGTAGAATGGGGAGACATGGTCAGGGTCCTGCACAGGGGAAGGCAGATGCCTTGGGACCTGGTGGCCCCCTCCAGACCCACCTGGTACAGAGGGATGTTGAGGACAGAGCCAGGCTCTTTGTGGGGCTCTTGGGAGAGGCTGGGCACTCGGAGCCCCATCCCTCCTTTCTTCCTTTCTACTCTGCTCAGAATCCCTCAGGGGCCATAGAGTGTGTGCTTGTAGGCTCTCTTCCCCTACCTTCCCAGTTCAGGGTTCTCTTCGTTCCTCTCTGGACAAGTAAGTCTCATCTACTCTTCTTGCTCTCTGCTCTGTGGCTGGCGTGTGTGTTGTGTCTGGCAGGGGCCTGGTACTTGCGGGGTTTGAGAACCCTGACTGCTATGTTAGAAGTAGATTGAGCTGAGAAGGCTGTGGAAGGTCTTCAGAGGAGAGGGAGGAGCAGCAGACATTTTGTGACTTGGGGACTACATTGGGGTCAGAGGAGCTTACAGCCACATGACCTGGAAGCAGTAAGGGCCCAGAGGATCAAACTCACCCCAGACGACCTTTCAAAAGGGAAAAGAAGGCTCCAGGGTGAGGTTCTGCTGTGGCCACCTGAAGGGGAGGCTGAGAAGGCAGTGGACTTGAAGATGGGAGTACCTGGGCCTGGTGGGCATGGTCAGGGCTGGACTGACGGGTCAGGAAGGTGTGGCCACGTGGAGGTGGCTCTGTGTGAAGGGAATGGGGAAGCTGAGGGACTGGCCAATGGAGGGGACAGGCAGTGCGTATGGTGCTGGCGTTGCCTGGGAGTGGGCTCCCTTGGGGGCGGCTGCACTGGGAAGGGTGGTCACCATGAAGGACGGTGGGCTTGGGGAAGAAACAGCGCTGCTTCCTGGGTCGCAGCCCTGGGTGCTCAGCAGCTGGTGCCAGCCGATGAAGGACTTCCAGGGGCCCTTGCCCTTTGTTCTTCACACATCAGCAGATTTAATGAGCACTGCTATGTGCTGAGTTCCATGAATGTTGAGGGGTGACGCCTTTGAGAAACTTCGAGGAGCATTAGCCATTATTGCTGAAACGTAGATGTCTTTTAAGGCACTTGTGGGCCAAGGGATGCCAGGGTTAGACCCAAGACTGCAGAGTGTAGGTGCCTGAGTGGTGGAGGGAGCTGGAGGCCACAGGACCCTCTCTGGCTCTGGGGCCAACTAGGGGGACAGTCAGCCCTCTGGCTGGGTGGGGTATCCTGTAGGGGTGCTTGGGACTTGGTGGTACCCCTCCTCAGGCACAGGTGTGGGCCACCCTTCAGAGAGTCCTGGTGCATCTCCCTTGTCGGTTCACTGGAAGGGCCTCTGGCCTTTTTGTGGGAAAGATGGGTGGTCTTACCACATGTGCCCTGGAACTATGTCTTGGAAGGGACGTGGCTTGGGGCTTACCCCTGCCTCCCGGCAGCCTAGGGTCTGAGCTGTGGTGCTCACTTGGATGGGTTGGGTGTGTTCTCTCTGCAGGGTGCTGTCGCCGTCCAGCAGCCCACTGTGGGGGAAGCTCCGGCTGGACATCAAAGCTTACCTGAGCTCTGTCGTACAGGTGCAGCTCTTGGGTGGGGGGGGCAGGGCCTGCTGGGTCATGCGGGTGCCTGGCTGGGTCCACTGGTCCAGGCCTCTCTTGTATCTGGGCCTCGCTGACCTCTTCTGCTTCCTCAGCTGGTGGCCTGTGTGGCAGAGGTGACAGTCGCAGCGGCTGTCCTCCAGCACATCAGCAGTTCCGTGCTCTACTACCTGACCTTCCCCAAGCAGTGCCGCATGCTGCTCAAGGTACACCGTCCAGAGTTGGCCCTGCTGCCAGCCAGCGTGCAGATGGCCTCCCCTCCCAGGCTCTGTCTCGGCAGCATCCTCAGGGCAGCACAGCCCAGTCGCATGAGGACCAGCTCCTCTGGTGGTGTGTGTGTGTGAGAGCTTTCTGACGCGCGTGTGTATACGTGTGCCTGGTAGAGGTCAGTTTTCCCCATGAGGCCTTTAGGAGGGGCAATGTGCTGTTTCCTGTTTTTGCTTCTCCCGGATTGAGCTCTAACTTGTGGGTCTCCCTGGGGCACTTTGGGGCGCTGTCTTCAAGTGTGGTGGGGCTTGGGGAGGTGGGGACAGGCACTGACGCCTAGTCTCTGCAGAGGATGGTGGTCCTGTGGAGCACGGGTGAGGAGACGCTGCGAGTGCTGGCCTTCCTGGTCCTCATCAAGGTCTGCCGGCACAAGAAAGACGCCTTCCTGAGCCCTGTCCTCAAGGTAGTGGTGCTCCTGAGGCTGTCCATCGGGGTCTGGGTTAAGTCTCATCTTAGGGCTGGGCAGGCTGCCTTGCGGTTTGTGTTCCTTGTAGGCACTATGACCCTGGACAGACCTAGGCCCTCGCCATGGTTTCCCCCCAGAAGTGGGGGGTGGGACGGGAGCCCTTGGTCCCCCTGCGGCTCCACGTGGACTGCTCCGCACAGCTCTCCCCTCAGTGGACAAGGACATGGGGCATAGAGAAGGACAGGGATCCTGCTGCCTGGCTTTAAGCTGGGGTGGCCTGCCCCACATCCCTGGAAGCTTCCTGTGTCGCCTGGCACATGGCAGGGGCTTCTCTGTCCCCTTCCCTCCTGGTCCTTGCCTATTCCCACAGTTATTCATGCTGCAGCTTGCTGCCCCTTGGGTACCTGGCCCCCCTGTGAGACCCTTCTCTGTGCCCGAGGCTGGTGGGTGCACACGTGGAGACTGAGCAGCAGTCGGGGGCCCCAGCATCAGGTGCTGTTTAGGGGAGGGGTCTGTAGCAGACATGGCTGGGCTGTTATTCATGCTGAGGCCAGCTCTGGGGAAAGGCCCAGGTGTCTGGTGGTGGCGTGGAGCTGGGCAGCGGGGCACAGGGCCCTGGGAGCTCAGAGGTGGCTCTCACCGTGGGTGTCTCGGCAGCAAATGTACATCATGTACGTGAGGAACTGCAAGTTCACCTCCCCCAGTGCCCTGCCACTCATCAGCTTCATGCAGCGGACCTTGGCGGAGCTGCTGGCCCTGGACACTGGCATCACCTACCAGCACGCCTTCCTCTACATCCGCCAGCTTGCCGTCCACCTGCGCAACGCTATGACCATGCGCAGGAAGGTGTGCAGCGGGGCTTGTGGGGTGGGGAGCCCGAGAGCTGACCCACTGTGGGCCTGGGGACTCCTGGGAGAGGCAACTCAGCGCCTTGGTGGGGGCTGTGGGAGTGGGAGGAGGGGACCGGTGGGTGGCTGACCCAGAGGTCCACTTCACTCTGCGCAGGAGACGTACCAGTCAGTATACAACTGGCAGTTTGTGCACTGCCTCTACCTGTGGTGCCGCACGCTCAGCACCATCTGCCCAAGTGAAGCTCTCCGGCCGTTGATCTACCCCCTTTCCCAGGTTGTCATTGGCTGCATCAAGTGAGTCAGGGCCCCCGAGGGCCGAAAGAGGTCCGAAAGAGGTTGAGGCCAGGGTTACACAGGGCTGTCTGGGGACAAGGTTGCAGGAGGCTGTCCTAGAGATCACAGAAGGGTCAGAGTTTTACAAGGAGGCATCCTGGAGGGCCAGGATGGTCTGGCCAGTATTCCTGGTGGCTGGGGCCTCCAGGAAGTGGGGTCTGACTTGAAAGAACCTTAGAAGGGCTGGGAGTGAGGCTGCATGACCCTAACCCTGTGCCCAGCATGTGAGAATGTCCCAGAATCATAGTCAGCTGCGTTTCTCAGTTGCCTGTGATGTGAACGCCTCCTAGTGCCCTAGTCTGGGATGCAGACACTCGTGCATTCCCGTGACTCTGTGCAGTTTGAAGGGAGTTTGAGTTTACCTGCATGGGTGTCCGGGATGGAGCAGGTCTGGTGTGAACATTCAGCATCCGTCTCTGGGGGCAGAGACTGGAGGAGCCACCTGTGGCCAGGAGAGGGCGTTCCTGTCCTCCTGAAGGGAAGAAAGAAAGGCTTGAATCAGTGACTCTGCCACCTGCTGCCTCGCTGCCTCGTGCACTGAAATGAAATTGAGTTAATAGCCAGGCAGGGTGTCCCCCACCCCAATCACTGAGCAAGGAGGCAGGTCCTTAAAGCTGGGACTGCAGTTGAGGCCTCTTGTCCTGCCCTTTTCTGTCGGATGGGCAGGGGTGTCTGCTGACCCTCATGGGGAGGAGGCTGGAGCCCCATGGGTTGGGAGGGGTCGGGGCAGCTGGGCCAAGAGGATGAGGCTAGTTTGTGGGTCTGTCAGGCCGGGGCCTCTTCACTCCCACCTCCCACGTTCCCAGGCTGGTCCCCACCGCCCGCTTCTACCCGCTGCGCATGCACTGTGTGCGTGCCCTGACACTGCTCTCGGAGAGCACGGGCACCTTCATCCCGGTGCTGCCCTTCATCCTCGAGGTGAGTGGGTTCAGTGGGTCGGGCAGGGACGGGGGTGCTTCCTGCTGCACGTGGCCCTGCCGCCCTCCGCAGCGCAGCTCTCCTGAGGGCACCTTCTCCAGAGCGCTCGCCTGTAGCAGGCAGTTTCGAGAGGGTGTTGCTGTGCACCGCGCCTGCCCAGGCTGGTGGTGTGTGTTGTAGGCAAGGGTGGCACCATAGATGAGGTCAGCTGCTCTTTGGGGCTGGCCCGAGGGTGTTGATTTTAGGGCACAGACTTGGGTTGATCCGGTGTTTGCCCAAGATCAGCGTGAGCCAGAGAGCTGGGCCAAAGCCCTGTCTGATTGCAAAGCTGTATTCTCTTCTCATGCCTCTGCCTGGGTGCCTCTGTGTGTATACGTGTGCACATGTGTGTCTGCGTAGCTTAGGTGAGAAAGGCTGCAGTCTGAGCGCCAGAGATCCACTGGGGGTTGGGCCCCAGTGCAGCGCACACTTGGGAACTCACAGCCTCTCTCATTAGGCCTCTGCCCCACCTCCGGACAGCTCAGAGCGGTGCTCATCACGGCTAGGGTGGGGGTCTACCCCCTCACCAGGTGGAGAGAGAGGGGAGCCCCCTGGGACAAGACATGAAATCTTCATGCTCTTAAGAATGTTTTTTGGACACATCTGTTCCCCTCAGATGACCACTGAGTTGGCCCCGGGGCCCTTGGCTTGGTGTCCCTGCTCTAGACCTCTCCCTGCTGGCCAGCTCTTGGCCTCTGTCTGTCCATGATCTCCCACAGTCATTTTTTTTTCTTCCATCTTTACTAATGTGTGTGCTTGTACCTCCTCAGCTTGCAGCTGCCCCCCATACGTTCTTCTCGCAGCCAGGGCTGCAGGCCTCTCCTCTCGGAGAAAACAAACCACACAGGCTCTGAAGGGCCCCTGCTGTCTGTCCCTGGGGCGAGAGCAGCCCTATGTGGGAATTCAGCTTCCCCCCTCAGGCTGCGCCAGAGCTTGAGAAAGGCAGTGCCTTCCCAGGGAACCATTTGTCATAGTGTCACAGCTGCAGTGAGCTGAGCTCAGCTGTGAAGCATCTTCCCCTCCCTGCTCCATGGTGTCTCCTGTTGGGGGCCTTTTTCAGTTAGGTCTCCCCAGCATCTGCCACCCACTTCCTCAGGGACGCACCCTGGATCACCCCAAGTGAAAGTGATGGGGAGGGGTCCCCTGGTGAAAGGCTTGGCACAGCTCCCACCCTGCTCCCCTTGGGTAGGACATGGGATGGGAGCTGCCCAGGCCCCTGCCTGAGAACTTCTGTCCCTTGGTGAATTCCTCCTGGGGAGTTAGCCCTGGAGCCAGGACCAGGCCTTGGGGAGTTGATCGTGGGTGAGGACACTGCAGTGACGGTGGCCCCATGTGGGAGGGACTGTTCTTCGTCTCCAGGTGCTGGTTCTCACGGCCTCCTGGCCCAGTTTAGAAGGGCAGCAGCAGTGTGTGTGTGTGTGTGTGCGTGCAGGTGCGTGCGTGTGCGCCCGCGCTCTCCTGGTCCTACATCTTTGGCCACGGCCCCCTCTAGGACAGAGAGACTCTTCTGGGGCTGGAGCTCTGGAAGGCAAGCAGACTGTTGACAGGGGCATCTGGGGCCATGGGGCTGGCACTGCATCTGGCCACTTGTCCCTGGTCTCAGGTTGGGTCTCCAGAGACCCAGAGTATGGGGTGGGCTGACAGGGTCCTTGGGGCAGGTTTTCCAGCAGGTCGACTTCAACAGGAGGCCAGGGCGCATGAGCTCCAGGCCCATCAACTTTGCTGTGATCCTGAAGCTGTCCAAGGTTAACTTGCAGGAGAAGGCGTACCGGGTGAGGCCAGTCTCTAGGATGGGTCCAAGGAGTACACTGGGTGGGTGTTGGATGGGCTCTGGGGTCAGCCCGCAGGGTGGAGGCAGATGAGTGTGGACAGGAGGCGGCTCACTGCCCTCTGGAGTTGAACCTTGTGGGTCTCCTGGGGTTGGGGGAGCAGGTGCTCCTGGGCCCCCACCCTGGGGAACCTGAGTGTGGCCCAGGGAGGCTATGGGGTCAGGTCCTCTGGGTCCCCAGACTAGGGGGCAAGCTGGCACACCAGCCTGTGAGCCGTCGCCTGCCCTGACGCTGTCCTCTCCCTCACTTCTCAGGATGGTCTGGTCGAGCAGCTGTATGACCTCACCCTGGAGTACCTGCACAGTCAGGCCCACAGCATCGCATTCCCTGAGCTGGCGCTGCCTGCTGTCCTGCAGGTGTGTGCCCGCTGCCCCACCCTGCCCCGATCCCTCAGCAGACCAGACTGTCTCCTAGGGGGCTAGCTCCCCTTACACAGCTGTGTCACAGTCACAGGGCCAGTGGCAGAGCCTGGCCAGCTTGAGGTCTCTGCTGACACTACCTGGCAGCTGGATCCCTGGAGCTGTGGTATCGGGGTCTGAGCACAGGGGGTGTGGAGCCTGTGGGGTGGGACTGACCGGTGCATCAAGCGGCCCCTCCCCAGCCGGCCACATCCCAGGGGCCAGACTAGCTGTAAGGTCTCCTGGGGGGTGTTGGGACTGAGCGGGCTGGACCTGGCCCCCCAGTTTTGGGTTGGGCTGGTCTGAGTACATGCTTCCCCAGGTGGTCCTGGGCATGGGTGAGGAGGTAGGATAGTCTCAGGGCAGCAGGAAGCTCTGGCCACCCACCTCAGCTTTTCTTCATGTAATACTTGGGGAGTGGGGTGGGGTCCTCCCTCTCAGAAGCTCCTCTCGGCCCTTTGGAGGGGTCTTAACTTTCAGCCTAGGTGTCTCCCATCTCAGGGAGGCCTGGGCCTGTTTGGCCCTGGTGGGCAGAACCAGCCCCCCAGTCGCAGGCTGCGGGTGAGTAGGGCAGGGCTGCTCAGAGGCCCAGACACAGGTGTGTGCAAGGCTCTGTTTGTGAGTCTCAGAGATCGTGGTCTGGAAGGGGGTTCAGTAAATGGTTTTGGTAAAAAGTCAAATGTAAATGTTTTAGGCTTTGCAGTCACATGGTTTCTTACAACTGTTTGACTCTCCTGAGGGCGGGCAAAAAACAGTCATAGAAACTCAGGAACGAGCGTGCTGTGTGTGAGGACAGCTTTACTTACAGAGTCAGTGGGGATGTGGCCTGGAGGTCGACCCAAGCTACGCCCCGCCAGTGCTCTGCCCTCCGCCTGGCCTCTGCAGCCCTCAGCCTCCACAGGCTCCCTGAGGGCTGGGCCAAGAGCTCACGCAGGCCCCTCCCCCAGCACGCTCACCAGGGCCCTAAGACACAGGAACTCGTGATCCCCTTGCCTGCCTGTGATCACCATGTGTGGGGTGCAGGGCAGCCCTGTGCCTGGAGCTAGGCTGAGCTCCCCTTTCTTCTGCAGCTGAAATCTTTCCTCCGAGAGTGCAAGGTGGCCAATTACTGCCGTCAGGTGCGCCAGCTACTGGAGAAGGTGCAGGAGAATGCAGAGCACATCCGCAGCCTCCGCCAGAGGGTCCCGTTCGGCGTGTCCGACCAGCACGCGGTGGTCAGCTGGGGGCTGGCGCCTGGGCCCTGGGGGCACCGGTCAGTGTGTATCTGGGGTTCAGGAGCTTGCTGGGGTGGGACATGACCCTGAACCTCTCCCCACAGGACGCCTGGGAGAAGCGGACCCGAGAGGAGGGGACCCCGCTCACCAAGTACTACAGCCAGTGGCGTAAGCTGAGGGATCGAGAGATCCAGCTGGAGATCAGCGGCAAAGAGCGGGTAGGGGGGCAGGGGCGGGGGCATGGGCACAGCTTGAGGGACGTCAGCGTGGGTGTAGGGGCTGTCCCGGCCACCCCCAGGTGCAGCCTGTCCGGGTGCTCTGGCTGCTCTGACAGGGTAGGTGGTGAGCTGAACTGGGCAGAGTCTGAATCCTCTCATGGCTCCTAGGAGGAGCCATGGCTCTAGGAGGAGAGGCTGCTCCCTTGCCTCAGGCCTGATGGGCTGGGGATTTTGGGGGAGCGAATGCTGAACTGACCTTGTCACCCAGGCCAGCCTGTGGACACCAAGAGGTCCAGCAGAGAGGGGCTAGGATCTGGGCCTAGCCATTGGGTATGGGATGGTGTGACTTAAGGGGACAGCTTTGTGCCAGGTGGCACTACCGTCTGCATCCCTGCATCTCTGTCCTGGTATCAGTATGGGTTTACCATCTGTCTTGAGAGTGAAGGCTGAAAATCTGGGAACAGGAAGGTGGGGGCCTGCAGCTTTGGTGGCATTTAGTGGCCTCCCGGTGGGGCAGCCGTCAGGGAACCCCACCCCGTGATACTAAGCAGGAATCCCAGGAGTTGGCTAGCAAAAGCAGCCAGGCAGGGTCCTTGCGAGGGGGTGGGCTGGAGGCCTGAAGGGGGTGCTGAAGGTGGGGAAGCAGGACCGCGGGTCTGGGTAAAGCCTGTCTGTGGGAATGTGAGTCGGGGCTCTTGCTGTGTGACGTGGCCAGGCCGTGGCTCTGGGGGTCGGGTGGAGTGGGCCCACCCTCAACTGCTGCTCTGGGCTCCTGTCCTCCCAGCTAGAAGACCTGAACTTCCCAGAGGTAAAGCGGCGCAAGGTGGGGGACAGGAAGGATGAGGACAGGGCAGAATTCAAGGACCTCTTTGACCTGGACAGTGATGAGGACGACGATGCCCCGGACTTCCCAGAGAGAGGTCGGGGGTCCACGTCTCTGCTCTTGCTGGGGCGGGGGTTGGGGGAGGAGGAGCAGGTGGGCCTGGCAGGATTCCCACCTGGTGGAGCCAGAAGTGCCCCAGCTCTCATGTTGCTGAGTGCTTGCCACCACTCCCTCGCCTCTTCTCCCACCACTTGGATAGCTTTGAGGTGGGAGCCCTCCTGGAATTGGAACACATGCCTCTAGGCCTCGTCCCCCTCCCCAGCTCCCTCCACCCTGCCCCACAACCCCATCACTTTTCAGGGTTAGTCCTGAATCTTCTCCACTTGCACAAAGGGGGCCTGAGGGAAGGCTGGATGCAGGACTGTGCACCTAGCCCACCCTCCCACCTTAGCTGCCTGCTCTGTGCATTTTCCGGTGGGCCTACTACCATGGGCTCTTGTCCTTGGTCTTCAGGGACATCTGGGTCCCCGAGAGCTTGGCAGAGGGAGGAGGAGGAGGAAGGCAGCAGCAGCAGCAGCAGCAACAGCAGCAGCAGGGAGGAAGGCATCAAGTCAGAAGGTAAGTGGTTCCAGAGAGTGAGGGGTCCTGTGGTCTTTGAACCCATCTGTCTGGAGCCCAAGGCTGTCATGGGATTTGGTGGGTGTGCAGGGCTGTCGGCTGGAAGCTGGGCCCACGCCCCTCCCTAGGGATGTCGGGCCAGCTGCTCCACTCCCGCTTGCTCTGGCAGCCAGCAGCAGTAGCACTGATAAATTAATTAGTGCTGTGATTAATTAGTGATGAGTAACCTCCAAGTCTGGCTTCTTCCTGATAAAGTAGAATTTATGTAGCCGTGCTTTCTCTCTGCAGATGGAAGCCCAGACACAGAGGCGGGGCTAGGCCCCCAGGAGCTGTGGTGGCTGGCCCAGGGACCAGAGGACGAGCTGCAGGATCTACAGCTCTCCGAGGATGACTGAGGGGTTGCAGGGGCTGCTGCACAGTCTTCACACCTCATCACTTAGGCATGCTGCCTCCTGGCTGGTGCGGAGCCTGGAGGCCCTGAGGTCAGCACCCGTGCGGGGCGAAAGGGCAGTAGATGCTGGACAAGGCTTTATTTTTACAACATAAAACACCAGAAAGTACCAAGTGCTGTTCCAGTCCCTGGAGTGGCGGCCGTGGGGATGTAAACCAGCACCAGGGAACCTGCCTACCGCTGCACCCATGGTGGCAGGTGAGACACACCTACCCCATGAGGGAAGCTTATCTGGAGCACGGCTCTGCCTTAAGTCAGGATGCCAAGCAGTCGTGGCTCCCCCCGGAGCCAGCGGGCATGGCGTGATGTCTTTGGTTTGTCTGCAGCTGCCCAGGATGCAGAGCCCCCACCCCCTGGCCCGGGTTCAAGTGCCCAAGCCGTCTGCACTCAGGTCGATAGTCATCCCCAGAGAGTCCTTGGAAACTTATTCCTTTCCTCTTTAAGTTATGTGTTTTCAATTGTGTTTTTTGCATCCACAACCAAAAGGAGAATAAGCTGTTGAAGGGCAGGGGCGGGGAAATCTGCATCAGAGCAGCTGGCACTGAAGGACTAGAGGTTTGACACCAGCTCAACACAGAGGCTGGGAGGGGTCTGCAGGCCCTGGGAGTAGAGCCATGGTTCCGTTCTCTTGCTTGGGTGAGGCTCGGCCAGCAGGGGGATGTGCCCCCCCAAACGGGGAAGGGGCCATTGTTGGGGACAGGGGCTGCTCCCCCGAGGTGAGCTCCCGCTCGGAAGCCCGCAGCGTTGGTGGCTGCAGCGGCAGAGCCACAGGGAAGCTGGCCATGTAGAAGACGCGGCCCAGACGCTTGGCCACCTGTGGAGAGACGGGCCTGGGTAGGGGCCTGCATGACGGCTGATCTGCAGCCACACACGGAGCTGTGGTGCTGCCCTTCCACTGTCTGGAGACCACTGGCCCCAGTAGGTGCTCACCTGGGCCCGGATCTTGAGAGCAGGCCCCAGCTTCAGCCCCATGGTGGTCAGGAGATGTTCCTCTGTCAGCAGGGGCAGGGTCTCCCCGTCAATCCCCTGTTCTCTGAAAACCTGGGAGGGGGTGCGGTGTCAGGGCCTGAGCGCAAGGGCTGAGTGTCCTGGAGTGGCTCAAGGCTCTCCAAAGGGAGCAGAGCAGAGAAGCCGTTGGTGCAGCTTGTGGGAACAATTGTCAAATAGAACATCTCCTTTGTGTTGGGTACACACCTGAGTTGGAGGCAGAAGCACTGCCATGGCAGAGGAGATGGAGGAGCATGCAGTAGGATCCCCCCCCCCACGGTGTCTTTGAGGAGGGGAGTTGTGGGGTGGCAAGCACCGCTGGGGAGGGGGGAACTCAGAACCATCTTGGGCAGGTGTCCCCCTCTCACCGGTGCATATTCTCCACAGCCAGACAGGCCTCCCACAAAGCTGCAGACATCCTCCACTGTCCACTTGCTGACATCCTCGGGGGCTGTGGCCTCTTCCCCATCCATGAAGAGGCCCCCCATGGCGCCTGGGTTGGGGAGGAGGGTGTTACTAGGCCTCTGGCCAGCTCTTTCCTCTGTTCCCGCCCCTGTCTGCTGACCTCTGTTTGCCCTTATTGTTAGGAGATGTTGGATTGATGAGAGAGATTTTTTTCCCCCCCGCGGTGGCCCTCCCTAAGACCCTGGGTGTGTGTGGGGGGCTAGCTCTCCTTCCACCCCATGGAGGGATCTAAAGCCTGGAGAAGGGTGCCCACCTGTGTGGAAGTAGGGGCTGACAGCGTAGGGTAAGCCCAGGGGCAGTGGAGGGGGCAGCATGGACCCTGAGAGAAGCCCCTTCCCCTCAGAGCTGGCCCCTCCGGCTGGGGGCTTGGCCGTGGGGGTCGGGG